AATGTAAAAACATTCAAGAGAATGACAGTATTACAGGGTATTTAGAACCAACTAACAGAAAATAAACAATGTAATCTCCTTGTCTATAAAAGTTTTTGTTTATACTGTCACATATAATAAAATCCAATAAGATACAACATGTTAAGACCTATGGAGACAGAAGAACAAAAGCTTGATGGGACTTCAAAATAAGATGATACCAAATCAGCACTACCTATTACGACGTCGTTTTCTCCAAAATAGCTGTTCCTATCATCCAATCTTCTCTGCCTCATTTCTCTTGAGCTTTTTTTCTGTCATTAATTGTCAGTTTGTCTTCTTCATTTTGTTTTCTGCTCTATTCATTGTGGCCTCTTTGCCACTATTTCTGGATTCTTCGTATTTTTCTTTTTTAGAATATCCTGCAGTATTCTCTGTAGAGTTGAATTGGTGGTTGCATATTCCCCTAGTTCTTCTTTATCCTGGAAGCACCTTGTTTTTCCATCAATTTCCAGGGATAGTTGTGCAGGATATCTCAATCTTGGCTGGAGGTTATTATCTTTCAAACTTGAATTATTTCCCCCCACGCTCTTCGTGATTTGATGGTTTGTGCCGAGAAGTCTGCTGTAATTCTGATGGGTGTTCCCTTGTAAGTGATCTGTTTCTTGTCTCTGATGGCTTTTAATATTCTGTTCTTTTATTGGATTTCTGGTATTTTGATTATTATATGCCTTGGCGTAGCTCTGTTTCGGTTGTAGGTGGCTGGGGTCCTGTATGCTTCATACATCTGAGTATCTTTACCTTTTGCTAAATTAGGAAAATTCTCCTGGATTATTTCTGCAAGTAGCTTTTGTAGTTCATTTGTTTGTGTCCCTACCTCTTCTTTTATGTTCTTAATTCTTAAGTTATAGACCCTCTTATCATCTTCTAGTCTTTGTATTGTTGCTGTTTGTTTCTTTGTTATTTTTAAGAAGTTTTTCATTTCATGCTCCCATATTACAAATCTGCCCTCCAATTCAGATAATCTGTCCTTAGTTTCTTTCAAGCTGTTATGCCAGTTTTCAATAGCGTTTTTAGTTTCCTGGTAATCTCTTTGAACCTGCTTCATGTATTCTATGTTTTCTCTATTTTCTCCATCAAACAATTCTCCCCTCTTTTTCTGTTCTTCCATTCCACCATCTGCTTTTTCTTGGGTGGTGCTTAGCATTTCTCTAACTATTCTGCTTATGTCTTGCTTCAGGTCATTAATAATTTCATTCCTGACCTCGTCTAAGAGGCTCTGGAGATAGCCTTTTATGTCTACTGGTGCCGTGTCTGCTATTGCCTGTTTCTCAGGATTGCAGGCCAAGGAGCCTTTCTTGTTGCTCCCTCTTCCCATATTCTTTGTTCCTTATATATGCAAGCGTATATAGGAGGCCCAGCTTCCTTCCCTGTTGGCCACAGTCTGATTGAATTGCGCCGGCTAGGTGTTCCCGCCCATTGCAGTGCACCAGGGAGTTACGAACCGGGCAGCCTATGCGGGGCCCGCCCCTCCAGGTCAACCTACTTAAACCTTCACCGCTAGGGTGCACCTCCAGGCGCTGGGACCTGGGTTGTGCTAGCCTACTGGGTCTCAGCCAGCAGCGTCATGTAGGCTAGGCACTGCTCACCAATCCTGCTTGAGAGGGGGATATGTGACTGAAGTCACTACAGTGCCTTGTTCCAGCAAGTCTGCCTGGTCCCAGAAAGTCCTCTGTTGGAGCCTCCTAGACTGTGGAAGAGTCCCAGTTTCCCTCACTCACCACAGGTTGATGCACAGCTCCCCGCCCGTCCAGCTCTCAACTTCATTCACCGATTCCCGTTCTCAGAGCTTTCATGCGTCTCTCTCCCTGCTGAGCCGATTCAGCTGCAGCAGCAGCAGCAGGAAACCCAAATCGCAGCTTCCAATGGCGCGGGCTACAGCTTTCATGCTCAGGCTTTATCTGTTCCTGTTATAGCACCAGGATTGCATTCCCAGTTGGTATCTCTCAGCCCAGTTCGTTCTTGGGTCAGCATTGTATATCTCCTCTTGGTTAGGATTCCTCACTCCGCACCATTCCTGGATTCTAAGCTGGGTCTTGCAAAGAGCCTGCGTAGCTGCTGCTATCTGTCCACCATGTTCTCCCGGAAGCGCTTCCAACTCCTTAATGAAATTGAAGATGAAGCAATACTCCCAAATTCATTCCTGGAATGTGTGCATACTGCAATAGCAAAACCAGAGAAGGATCCAACCAAAAAAGAAAACTATAGGTCACTCTCCCTAATGAAATAGCTGTAAAACTCCTCAATAAGATACTGGGGAACAGACTGCAGCAAATTGTCAAGCAGATTACACACCGTGAAGTAGGATTTATCCCAGGGATGCAGGGATGGTTCAACATATGCAAATCAATAAACATCATAGATCATATACCACAAAACCAAGGACAAAAACCATACATTGTCTCAGTAGATACAGAAAAACATTTGACAGGGGCTGGGGATTTAGCTTAGTGGCATAAGGGCCTGCCTTGCAAGCAGGCAGTCGTGAGTTCAATCCCTGGTACCGATGAAAACGAAAAAGACAAAAAAAAAAAAAAAAAAAAAAAAAGAAAAACATTTGACAAAGCCCAGCTCCCCTTCATGATGAAAACCCTACAGAAAATTGGAATAGATGGTCTTTATCTCAATCTGATAAAAGCTATCTTTGACAAACCAACAGCTGAGATCACACTAAATTGACAAAACCTGAAAGCTTCCACTCTGGAGAAATTTTACAGTGTTCATTATTTATTTATCTATCATTTTCCAGCGTGCTGACCTGCAGGACAGGTCAGCAGGTGAGCAGCTCTGTCATGGCTCACAATGCCACGCTCTCTGGAACCCGTTTATGCTGAGTGGAGAGAGATCTTTTTGCCTCCATCATCTGACCTCAATCCTAGGTACACTTTCAGTTCCAACACTAAGACATCCATTGAACCAACCGGGAAGCCAGGCTTCCAAAGCCTCTCAAAGTCTGGGACTGGGATTCTCGCAGTGATCACAGAGGAGTTTTACCCATCGGGTGCAGGAAGACATGAACAGTTACTTGTTTTCAAACCTTGGTCTGCTTACCACGTTGAGCTTCAGAGCACCAGGTAGAGCATCATGTCTTCCAACTCTTTCCTCGTGGATTCCTTAGGTGGTAATTGCAGCATTCTTAGTGAACTGATCTCACCCCTGCCCTGCACATACCTCACAGAGAGGGGAGCAGGGGTGTGAGAAGAGTCGTCTCCTTCAGGCATGGCTGAAGACCCAGTAGCATGCACACACCACTACTGCACGCAAAAAGATGAGGATGTCAGCTGAAAAGGGTTTGTGGGACACAATTTCAAATGCCATTGCTGGATGTAGATATTGGCCCGAGGGGACGGCCTGATGTGTACATGGAGCCTAGATCTAGAGGGGGAATCATAGGAAGGATATCCAGCTGCCACCCCTACTGTCAAGGGCTCTGAACAGTGTGATAGGTACACATGCGGGTAAGAGAGAACCTGGCCTGAACCTGCAGGCAAAGGGTGAGTGGTAGACCAGAAGTCTGATGCAGCTCCGTGTCCTACATGAGTGAGGCTCCCTGAAATCCGCATGCTAGCTCCTTTCTGCCTCTTAGTCTTTCAGTCTCCTGAAAGAGACACTGTGCTGCCCGGAAGGAGCCATCTGATTGCAGGGTAACCTTCTGGAACTAGGACCCCTCCCGCCTCCCAGGACAGCTCCATGAGTAAGACACGGGGCTCCTCGGCACATCCAGCTGACACTGTGTGTAGGATAAAGGGTGCGGTGCATCCTGAAGGGAACAATTAGGGAGCAAGGGGTTCATGGCTCCTGATTGGTTTTGGACCCATCCACTTCTGCAGGTCCTCATCTCTCGGGGGAGGTGCCCTAGAACACCCCAGGAGGGCACACAGAGCACAGGGTCTAGAGCAGGACCCTCTCTCCCCGCCCTAAGGTGCTTCAGTCCTTACTTGGTGCCTTGTACTCTCCTCCTTGCACCCCTGAGAGGTGTGAGCCACTGTCCTCACTCTCATGTGGCTGTGGGCGCCATGGCCCAGAGGGGTGATGTGGGTAGCACAGTAACCAAGCTACCAAGTAGCCCAACTGCATTTCCGTCCGGGCAGTTAAATACCAGAGGCAGATGGCTGCCTCAGCCCTCCGCTATGGTATTTCTCACTGCTTGCCCCTGCTAAGGACAAGAGGCTCACAGTGAGGAGTTGCTTGTGGACACGCGGCCTGGGTTTTATGTTTGTGTACCCTTTCATGGTGGAACCGATATGTATCTCCCCACTCCTGCTTCCCCCCAGAATTTCCCCTTATTCTTCGAACAGTATCTTGATTTCTTTTTCACGGTTTTCTTTCACAAGCATGATCAATAAAGTGTTCTATTTCCTCCAGTAGGGGCTAATGTGGCCCTTCCAGAACCTTCCAGAACCTTCTTATTCTAATATAGCCAAATTAGGCAAAGGACCTAACCCTAAGCTCAGTCAGTCGGACTCTCTCCCTGAATCATGACCAGAACCTGCACACTATGTCCTTTCTTGGTTTTTGGTCGTTGTGCCTGCTTTCATAGCATTCCAGTAAATTCTGATGGCCCCCAATATCCTTCTGGTAATTCTGTTCTACCTTTGCTGGCCAACACCAGTTTCTCTTGCTTGCTATGAAAGAATTCTAACTGATGCAGGCTATGGTCTCATTTGCGATTCTCATGAATGAAATTGCAATGGACAGTACTTATTACCATTTCATAGATAGGAAATTGTGGGTTTCCAGAGGCTAAATGATTTGCCCAAAACCGTACAGTGAGGAAGTGGTGGAGCCAGGGTCTGCTCCCACAGTTTTGATCTCTGCTTTAGAGATACACCTTCAAAGATAATTTTGGTTTCCGTTCATTTCCATTAATGGCAGAGCATGCCTTACATGCGAAATGCATTGGGTTTGCATCTTCCTCTCGCCATCCACCAAGGGGGTTAATGATAGCGTTTGCCTTACAGGATGAACACGTGAGATTGTGATCTCGGGAAGTGCTTAGCTCAGCAGAAAGTGCTCAGCGCCCGTGGAATTCTGATGGGAGGTGTTACAAGGTAAAATTCTGGCGCTCTGGCCATGGTCCAGGCAAGTCTAACACAGTTAAAGTTCTGTACAGTAGGACAGTTGGTGGGATGGAGAAGAACCCTCAATAGCAAAGCTTCTATTCCCCTCAAAACTACCCGCTTACTATTAGGCTGTTAACCCCTGTGCCCCCAGGAGCCACAGCTCCCTGTCTTATGTGAGGACCAGGGTGAATCAGCACTGGCATTCTTTCCTAAAGGTCTGTAGTGACCTTCCATGTTGGCTTCTTCACTGTGAGATCCATGGAGGGGCAGGCGTTGTGATGGTCCTTCTCAGCTGAGTCATGATCCAAGTGGGGTCCATGGTGCGGGGAATGTGTGCCCAGTGCTTATTTTCTGAATGAATAGACCCAGCCCAGAGATGAGCATCTAGCAGCTATTCAGTAATTTAACCTTTTTGCTCTCATGTGAAAGACTCTAACATTGGGTAGTTGAAAAGTGCTTTTTCCTTACGTGTCACTTGACAGAAATCACTGGATTCATTTCTATGATTCTGACAAATAGTAATTTTTATCTTTCATAGGTTAAGAGGAATAGTTATTTAAGGACAGGATCAGTTAGATAATGCTTAGCAGACTAAGCAATCAAACTTAATTCCCCTAAAAAGTTATGATTTTAGCATTATCAGGATAGTCCAGTTTTCCCAAACTTTGTAATTTCTTTTGCCCTCAATATATAAGTTGTGCCATTTTCTTGAGTTTTCTTTATATGAACTCATTTAAGAATCTAGCTTGATACCTATTTTAGCATCCTCTTTAAGAAGAATACCTTTAGAATGAAAAATTTGCTAGGGTTAACTTTTTCCCAGTGCACAGTGCAACAGATATATAACTGGCAGATAAGGCTCATGTCACATGTCATCTGAGCACTGAACAACACACACTAAGGTGTAACACACTTGAGTGACTGTAAATGCTTAACTTTTGAAGTGATGTTATAAGGGTTGCACCTACTCGTTAATATGAGAGGTCAGGGCAGCTGAGCAGACTGAGGTGGCTCTCTCCACACAGCAGGAGAGCATGTGGCTGGTTGCGGTGACCAATTCATTCTCATTTACCCAAGACTTTCTTGGCTTACACTGAAAGTCTCAGCTCTTCTGAGCCTCTTTGGTCTTGGATGCAAATCAGGATGTCACTCACAGCTGTTACCATCATGTTATAAACCACCGTGACTTGGTTGGTCCCAAGACCTTGGGACAAGGTGGCGATGACAGAAAGGAAAAATATGCTTCTGGAGTTGAAAGCAGAAGCTGGGTTTGGGAATGGGTTCTGTGCTAACTTGCTATATAAGTGTCTTCATTTGAATGCAAGTGGATTATCTGGGAAGCGATCCCAGGGAACTTTTCGAAAAGAAAGAGGAAGTGAGGCCAGTAGTAAATAAGTCAAGGGTATAGCATCCAACATATCCGGAGTGGTCAGTAGGAGCTGTGTCTCATGGGGGACTCTAAGGAGCCAGTGCACCTGGGGACCTGCGGTGTCTGTGCACCATCCTTTTTGTCACTGCCTGGGAGCAACTCCTGGGGAGGTTGATTCCCTAATACTTCTGTCCCGTCCTAACGTCATGAGCAGAGTTGGTGCCCTGGGAGACCAGGTAGGAAGATTAAGCCCTAACTGGCCTCTTCTGTGAGCACTAAGGAGCAAGTGGCAGGCAAGGATGCTGACGCTCTGCAGGTTCCAGGGAAAAGTAAAAGCGGCCGGGATCCTGTTGTTTACCCAGACACGTACTGTGGGTGGTGGGAGCAGACGAACCCTGTGTAACTCTGAGTGCCTATAGCCATGTCTGAGTGAATAAAGGCCGGACGAGCCGGCCACTCAGGGCCCTTCGCTGGATACAAGAGTCTCTTGACCCCTGCATTTTAGCCTAATCCTAGGTGTCTTTGTTTTTCATCCTCAGTCAGGCTGGCTCCTACAGGTGCCTTTGCCAGAAGAAGCCTCAGGCAAAGTGGGGTCCCCAGTGACGGGGAGAGCCCTGTGGGTGGGAGAGCCCCAGCACATCCACCGCAGACACGCTGGGCAAGCGCTTCCCGTCGGGGCCTCATTTTCTCCATGAGTAACGAGCAGCTGGAGTTCCGTGAACGCCTGCAGAAGTGTCGATATTTGCTTACAAGTACGGAGAACATCTTGGTGCTGTGTGGACACAGCTTTGAAGGCTATTATTTTTTTACTTTTTGAGTTTAATTTTAACAGATAGTATAAAAACATAAAATTATTCATATTCAGGTGGTGTCATGTGACGTTTCACATGCACACATTGTGTAATTAGGTCAGGGTAAACATGTCCTCCTCCTCCTCAAATATTTATCCTTTCTTTGTTGTGAAAGCACTTGGAATCCTTTCTTGTAGTTTTGAAATACGCAGTATATTACTGTTAGTGATAGTTGCCTTTCTGTGTTTCTGTCTGATTTTAACTTGGCACCCACTGGCCAGCCTCACCTGCATCCCTCTTCCTAGTTTTTTAAAGATGTTTTTATTTTAAAGAAAATGAAAGCAAGCAAAATAAAGCAGAACAAAGCCAGTCATAACAAGCCAGTGTAAGTGACACAGGACTTCAAACGATACAAAATCACTAACGGTTACCATAATGCCTCTTGTCTTCAAAACAGCTGTAGATAACTTCAGACATAATGGAAATCAAACAAAACAGAACAGAAGAGAGCCAATAAAAACAAAACAATGAATGCAATACAGGACCTCAAAACAAGACAACAGTAAATCCAAAATGGCTACCGTAATATATCTTGTTATCTCTGAAATAGCTGCCCATGCCATCGGATATAACAAAATCAAACAAAACAAAACAGAATAAAATCCAACCCACTAAAACAAATGAAAATGATACAGGACGTCAAAAGAAGATAGTAGGGGGTTAACAACGGCTGCCACCTTCAGAAGGAGATCCCCCATAGATGCCACACTGCTGACGGTGATTCTCTGATTGGTGATCAGACCACTGACCCTAGACCTGCAGAGTCAGCAAAACGGCAGACACCACAAGCATCAAATTGCATTTTACCCCAATACTATTGTTGCAGCCTGTGTTTCTCAGATCAGCAGTGGCTTAGGGGTGAGTGGGTGGATGGGTGGCTGGGATCTGGTTGTTCCCAGGTGGCGGTGACCCGTGCATGGCGCTGGTTTGCAGGGAGACTTGTTTCTTATCCCTATTCTTTGCAGTCTCTGGTCATCACCATCAGCCCACTCAGGGCACCCAAGGGAGATTTTTGAGTGTGAGGTTCCCACGTTGCAGAACACATATGTGTAAGACATGAGCAACAACAGCAGGCCGCGTGAAGCAGGGCAGAGCAGAAGAGCAGGAGCCCGAGCCACCCGTGTCTATCGTGTAATTCTTACACGGGTTCACATCTCGCATCTACATTCTTGTGTAGCACTGTAACCAGCACATACGCGTTTACCTGTGTGAAGTCACGATTACACAACTGCACCCCCCTGTGCTGTCCTCAGACCCCCTGAGCTGTGAGGCAGTCCGAATGGCTCCCCACACCCACTCTGTGCCATTTCTACAAGAGCAACGCCTTAAACAACACAGAATCACAGGGAGACGGTGATGCTTGCTTCTCACCCAGGCCTTCCGGAAATATCGACGAGGAATCTCCATCAGGTGCTGCTTTCACCCAGATCCCTCTTTTGTCTTTCAATCTTCCCTTTTGAACAAAAGAGAGCAGACCTCTAGGCAAGCCACAGTATCTAAAATGTAATAGCATCATTTCATGTCACTTATTTAAATGGTTAGTTTCTGTTTGTGGTGTTTGATTTTGGTCTTCCTGCATTTAAATAAAAGTCAGGCTAGATTAAAGACAAGTGTTAAACACCCCAAAAGATGGGAAGTTACGTGAGTGTGAGGTACTTTAAATTCTCTAATAATTAAAAAGTTTAATGTTTCTGTTTCTTTGAAAAGCCTTGTTGTTTTGGTGAAACAATGGCTTTTTGATAACATGTCAAATCTTTTTGTTGCGCTAGATTTTAAAATCTTTTTCCTCTTCACGTGTGTGTTATTTGGTGTTCCAACCAAAGACAAATTATGATTGATGGTGGTACAAATATGGCCAGTTCTCAAAACTTCCCTGAAATAAGCCACAGCCAGCATCGTCACCATGTCTGCTGAAGAGGGGTTTTAATTTGGTGGTTATCATCATCTTCATCAGGTCACAGGATGACATCAACAGACCTGCACAGAAGACCCAGGAAAAGTCTTGGGGAGTGAGTAACTGTGTCTCTGTCTTACACTCACTGGGGTCATGCTTGTATTTGAGGATTTCTTATTTGAATAAGAAAAGTGATTGTGATTTGAAGCCTTGATGTGCTTTGAGAAGAGAAGATATTTTAGAGACCGACTCATTCCATTTAATAGTGGTAAAGAAGAAATGTTAAAAAAACTTATAACAGATTTAACAAAAAAATTTTGTGGTTTAAAGCAATATAGTCTACGCATAGTCTGTTTTATCTGTAGCAAATGTGAGATAAACATTTATTTTCTGGAAATAGGTCATATTCTGACTATTTTGTATAAATACTTTGTCCACTAGAGGGCGCTATTTAGTTGTGTCTTTTCCTTTTCGTAAAAATAATAATAAAAACCACTACAGGGCTGTGAATTCTGATGCAATTTTTGTTGAGCATGTTATGAAATTTCCTCCCAGACATTGTTTTATTTGCAGCTTATATGTGTGAAATTCCACTTTAAAAAGTACAACACGACCCTGATTCTTTCAATATGTATAAAGTCCCAATGGCATTGTGGTGAACAGAAGCGGACGACATAAATTTAAATTATTGTAATCCCGTAGGTCTTCTGACTATTGTTTCACTATCTGTGTTACTTCTCAAAGAAAACATATCGTAAATATTAATACTGTCTACTCTGATCTTTTGAAAAGAAAGAGAGGCATTGTGGTCTAGGTGTGGGATTTTGTCAGATTTTCGCAAAATGACTTTGAAAAGAATTTCCAGGGTGATATT